TTTGACGAGTAAATCACATACGTAAAATAAAAATAAAAATAAAAAGTTAATAAAAAAGGAAACCTAGAACAAAAAATGTAAGAAAGAAAAAGAAAATGACCAGCATACACAGTACTTTTTAACATGGATAAAGATTGATGAAATAAGATCCATCCGTCATGAAACAGAGATTTTACAAGGATAAATGCCTTCTAGGACATTATGTTTGATCAATATAATTTAGTAGCTAGAAAATATTCACACCACCCTAAAACTATATTCCAAGTAGTTCAACTGACACGAAGGGATGTAAGTAGCGGATCCTTACTACAAGCAACTACTTTTACATGGGACAGTAGAGTATATGATGAGTTATCAACAAATCTTGATTGCTAATAAATGATTCTGCAAAACAGCAAGGATATTTTTCTGGAAGGAAGACTAATCTACATGACACATTTTGAACTGACAAAAAATTGCATACTTGAAAGAACAAAACTGGAGGTTTCAAATACAGTCAAACTTGACAACGAAACAGAAAATATATTGAAACTGGGAACCAAAAAATAACCCTCTTAGCTTGAAAGCCTATGAAACCTGGAGAATGGGTTGGGCTTTTTTTAAAAAGGAAGAAAAAAAGATTAAAATTATTGCAGCTGAAGATCAAATTATCAGTTAACAAAGTATGTCGTCTAAATCAACCACATTTTTTCCAAGTCAGGAATATTATATCACATCTAAATTATGGGAGAATCTTGAAAAGAAGTTTTATCTGCAAGAGGATATGTCAAAGGAAAGTTATATCTCAAGTAGATGCAACATCGCTACCAGGAAGAGTTTTGTCATATTGCTAACAATCACATCATTAGCTGTTAAAAACAGTGGAGTTTCAGTGAAGCTCGTAGTGGCCGAAACATAGAAATGCAATTAAGCACTTAATACATACATTTATACAGCTAAATGCTTCTACAATAGACAACGGCAAAAATTAATCTTAAAAGAACAATCAACACATTCAACTTGTATAGAACAACAAACCCGCCCTCTTCTTTCAAATAATATCAGAAATCACACATTCCTGCAACATATATCAATAATATAAGATTATATCCTAAAACAAGTGTGGGCTTGATAGGAGGAATTCACAACAGTATATGGACACCAGAAAAAAAAATAACTGAATATAAAGCATGGACATACTTTTATTGACAGCACGATAATAAAATAACAAATTCATAAGTTATATTCTTTCAATTTTTTAATTTCAACTAATAACCAATTGCATATGTTAAAACTGCATACCGGACAGCGAAGATTGACAGGAATGAAATCAGCAACAACTTCAATATCACTATCACTATCAGCATTTTCTGTTGCAGCCCCACCACCAACACATCTACGAACACGAGCCAGTGCATCCTCAAAGACTTCTCCTTCCGACTCTTTTGGAATAATGTTAAGAACCTAGTAAGCGAAGGCCTAGTTAAAATCATGTCTCCGCACATAGTAAGCTGGACACAAACATTTGTCAAAACTCTCAACAAACTTCTGATCAAGTGGAAGATACCAAAAGCCAATGCAACTATACAAGCTAAAGCCCACTCAAACAAGAAAAACGAAGAACCGTCAAACAGTATGAACAGAAGAATTGCATAACCAATGAAGAAATGCACAAAATTACCAAACTCCAGAATGCATATACAATATGAAAGCAGTAAGGTCAAATAACACGCCCCTTTATAAGTTTCAGCAGAGAAAATCACTGCATAAAAGTAGTCCAGTGCTCTCAATGGCATACGGCGGAAAACGCTGCAGGGTGAAATCCCGCCTTAGCGGCCCGTGGCGCCACCATAACCACCATCCTTCACAAATTTCTAATGGCGGTCAGGCAGAAATCCGCCACACTATACCACCAAGCCGAAATTTTGATAACAACAATGAAGTCAGAACACAATAATTATGGATAAATAGCATACCTGCTGCAAAGTGCGTCTTTTGACAATTCTAACTCCCACACAAAAGATGCGGGCATCACATCCTCCTAAGAAGATCTTATTAATTCCATCTCTGGTGCACGGCGTAATCTAAACACAGAACAACAAGTGAAGAAAACATCAAAAGCAATGTAGTCCAGGATATTACAATTCAAATATTTAGTAGAATTGATGATTTTCCCATGCGCAAACAGGAAAAATGAGGAAAACATATAGAGGATGACATTAATGGTGGAAAAAATAATGGAACCGAAATGATCCAATATCACCGAATGTTTAGGGAGAAGTTGTTTTGCATGTGGCAAATGGAGGGGAGATAAGATGTCTGACCCAGAATCTAAAACCAGAACTTGTCTTAATCTACGTGCCAAAAGGAGCAGGATAGGAATGGAATCACGGCAAGCAAATATTGTTGACACAACTAGTACTTCTTAGGTTTGGTAAACAATTAAAAAGGTAAAGTATGTTAATTCAGAAAGAAAAACTCACAACAGGGCCATCATCCCGACCATTAGCTCCCAACAACTGAGAACCAGGTCTGTTTATTACCCTCACTGGTACACCTATTGAATCAGAAAAGGTAAAACTAAGAAGGATAGTGAAATGTAGCACATTGAGTAAACTAACCGTAAAAGCAGCTCAATCATTTACGGGAATACAAGAACACAACAAAAATTCCATAAGAATGCATCCTCGAGCAGATCCTAGACAGGCTGTGAACACCGTGAACAAAATAATATCCATGACCACCATATGTTCTCATCTCCAAGTAAAATCACAGAAAAGTTTACCAATAAACAAAATTACCCAAGAAGAAGAAGAAGTTTAATATCATTATTAGACCATGCACCTACAAGTGACAAATATCTCAGGGGAAGTTATACCATTGATCTGTAAATCGGCATATTGTGGCCACTGCATCCTGAATGTCACCTTGTCATTAAGAAGCATGCACCAAGCCTAAACATCGATACCATGCAACCATAAGTGTCAAAGCAATCGACGTATCTAAACATGCTCAAAATAGAACTGTTACAATGACGGGGCATTCTTATCAACCTGAACATCATATTCTTGTTTAGACAATAAGTCCCTATCCGCACGCGTGAGTTGAAATGTTTTCTCAATGCTTTGACTAGGACTTGAGCTGGAACACCAGGTCACAATCTTTTAAGATTATCACAACATTGAAATATACACGTACTAACCTATATCACTTTTGAATTTTGTAATCACACTTACTATTACCTTGATACACATTGTTTATCTTGCCACATGGTGTAATAGGTAAAATAAGAAAAATAAGCTGGTATACTGGAAACTTTATATAGCATGGGAAACAAAATCTAAAACACAAGCAGGTATACTGGAAACTATGGGAAACAAAATATAAAACACTTGGGGTGTGATTGGATATAAATTCAATTTAAACTCAACTTTAACTCAATCCCATTATCATCAATATTATCAATATACTTCAATAATATCAATCAATCATTCTTACACATCATATCAATTTTAATTCAGTATTCACCCACTCACATAATTTTAACTAAACATCACTTCACATCATCTCTCTCTTACTTTCACATCAAATCAACTTTAATTATTTTATTTTAAATATTATTTTAATTTAAACTTAAATTCCCACTAACAATACCACATTTTTTAAAATTAACTATGATTAACAAAAAAAAACCAATCAAATCCATATCCAATTACACCCTTACAAGCTGCAACAAAAAGTGAGTCAAAATTTCTTAAAGAAAAAGGGCTGGTCCAAATGGTAAACATGAATATTAACGTTTCATGTATAAAAAGTAAAAAATTAGTAAACAGGCATGGAATCACACATACACAATCAGGGATTCACATGACGACGTTTAAATTTATATATATATAAAGGGGTTTGTATTTACTATTAAAAAAAAAATTACTTACTTAATAAACAAATTTTATATATAAAGGGGTTTGTATTTACTATTAAAAAAAATTACTTACTTAATAAACAAATTTTGCACATTAATTTCAAGACAAAATAAAATATTTGGCAATAATATGTTGGACAGTCATAGNTTGACGTTATGTAGTTCATATATTTAATAATTCGTCAACAAATTATCATAATTGTTTAAGCTACATAGTTTTATTTTATAAAATTACAAAATATTTGTTAGTTCATATATAAAATGCACAAAAATCTAAAAGAGGTTTTTTTTTTGTATTTTATTTCTTTCAAATAACGAAATTATTGTAAATTACATTTTCATTACATAATATGGTAAATAAAATATAAAACCGTATGATGCAAATCAGAAAAATCTCATGATTATTGAAGGAATTTATTTTTTTGCAATTGGGTATTTAATTATTATGGAAATTTTAAATTTCGATGCATAATGGGCGAAAAACTTTAGACGACAAATTGATTAAACTATTTGGTAAAATAATTTAAATAAACCCACAATGTGACATAAAAAAAAAAAAGTGACATAATCTTTTTTTCTTTTTTTTCTTCTTTTTTATAAATTAGTTGTTATTGATGAGATGCTTTTTTATACATATATCTTTATTTTTCTAATTATTATGAGAATACAATAAATTTCAAAAATTGAATAGAATCATACCTATACGTGTGTGTGTGTATATAGTAAACATGTTGTGCACTATATTTTATTTTAAATTTGTTTATATAAATCTAAATTAATTACATTACTAAATAATCCCCCTTTTTCGTCCCCATGTCGCCTCATTAATGTACATAAAATACTTACCATTACATTAAAAAAAAAAAGGAATACTACTTCTAAACTTTAATAAATAATAATGACATTATATAACAATAAATTGTAGAATACATAAAAATTGAGTATTTTATGGTGAACAAAAATAAGTAAAAACCATTATTTTTTCCCTAGAAATAAATATATGTAATAAAATCTTATTTATAGTAATATAAATGGGTTAACGGGCTAATGTGTTTTGATTAACTTTTAGGTCCTAACGGACTCAACGGTCCGGTAAAAAAAAAAAACACAAATAAAACAAATAAAGTAAAGCTCATGAAAACAGGCCGAAAATAGATGATCCACTCCTATTATTTTTTTTGGGGCAGTCAGACCTTATAAAATTTGGCCATTTAGAGGATGCTTGAATATAAAAAATTTTAGATTTGTTTGGATTTTTTCATTTAGTTTGATTAATTTTGAAAATGTGGTATGGTTAGTTGTTAGTGGGTATATTAAAATAATATTTAAAATAAAATAATTAAAATTGATTTGATATAAAAATATGAGATAGGTGATTTGAAGTGACTGTTAGTTAAAATAATGTGAATGGATGAATAGTGAATTAAGGTTGAAGTGGTGTATATGAATGATTGATTGATATTATATAATTATATTGATAATATTGATGATATTGAGGTTTGAGTTAAAGTTGAGTTAAAATAAGTGGTTGAGTTAAAAATGATTGGATTTTTTTGGACAAATTTGTATCCAAACATCCTCTTAACATCTCGTATGCATCGCACGAGTGACGTACTAGTGAAATGGCAAGAAGCATATAAGATTTTTCTTTTTATATTACATGATCTACAAGACCTCTTAACATCTTGACATAGTCAATCTAGCAGGTTGAATTTAAATAGGTTGAATTTAAATAGCTCGAACATATTATAGCCACTGAAGACTCGAGACTAAATCTCTCTGTCATCCATCCATATTACGTGATTAATGATCACAAAGGACTAATAGCAGCTAAATACAGTTATATAATAAATCTAACAGATGCTTAGGGTCTACAAGTAATAAATAACTTAAAACATCTTGAAGTTTAAAAGATAAAAGGATAGCAAATGCTTACCCATCTGCAGGAACACTTGTGATATTCAACTTCACGGGATAAAGGAGATGTGCAACTGTCGACCAAAATCTGCATAATGAAAGTTCAACCACGTTACAAGGTAACAAAGGTTTCCTAGATTTTATCCAGAGACAGCCACATAACATTATCCTTGGTTTCATATTGAGGAACAAAAGCCTTCAGAACAATTCACGGACAACACAAACCAAAATATAATTATTTTTCCATAGTTTCTTTATAGATCATAAAATTGTAACATCCAAAACAAATGCAAGTCTTTCGCTCAGAGTCTAGAGGCTTATGAAAAGGATAAATAATTTTAATGGAGCTGCATCAGGAGTTAAAGATGTATGATGATAAGGACTTAAGTAGTGAAGCACGACAAGAGAAGTAGTACAAAACCAGAGATCTAAGTCGAGTGAATTGACTAAGCTTATGCTAAGATTTCGTGTGAATCCAATATGAATCACGAAAATGAAAGATAATAGCAGGCAACAATAGCATTTGTAGATACGCCTAGTAAAGACTTTTCAAGAACAAAGCCATGAAATTTCTCAAAAAGATAAACTTTCAAGATCAAGCACTGGGGGAAACATTAAATTTTAGGCGTTAGTGCTTAGGTTGTATTTGATTGTACCTATATGGTTATAAAAATCTTTACGACCATTTCCCAATAAATAACAGACATTTAATATAGAAAAGTTTTATGATTAGTCAAATTAGAGACCACAACATCTACTTGCCTAACAAAATTGCGAGTGATGACAATGCTTGATGGATGATAATTTTAGTTTGGACTTTGGACGACCCCAATTGAAAGCCCGTAAAACACCAAGAAAATTTATCTACATCTTTTCCTTTGATTAAGTTTAAAACTCTAAGAAACACTTGGCACGATCAGAACACAATTTCGAGCCCCCTTGAACAACTCCGAATGAAAGAAAAACACAATCTCAACCCTTAAATAGAATGGAGGGAAAAAGTGAGGGAATGATGAAAAAAATTCTCTTGCAACAACAGACACTGTCTAATTACACTGAATTTTTTTTTTTATATACATTATATGTAATAAAAAAATCTATGAATAAAACTACCATACTGCCACGTGTTGAGTATTGTGTCATATTTTAATGACTGAATTCAGGGCTTATTAATAACCATTTAAAGTCACATGATGCCACTTTAGCTCAAGCAGCAATTACATTAAAAAAGAGGACGAAGTTGTAATTCAGTTATGGCATTGAATGATATGATGACACAACTGAAATAGGAATATCGCCACTTACGGGTCAGCACGACTCAGTCTGCAAATTTCACAGAAAAAAATGTCCGGTGGGTTTGGTAAGACACCCTCCATGGTTTTTTCATGAATCAGCACACATGTTTTATGCTGCCAAATATTACACCTAGGATCTTCACACTGCAACAAATGGAAATGGTTAAAAACATACAAAAGCCTCGCCAAGTCAAAAAAAGCAAGTCCAGATGCAACGGATATGTCTAATTGAAGCTCATCCAACAGCAAATAAGTATCACCTTGATCATTGAATCAGTTGCCAGAGTGCTTCCACAGACGCATCGGATCTTTTCCATTGGATAAGAATCTTCAGCTTCCTCTTTATGTTTTGCGCTTGCACTATCAGAAATGGCTTGTGTTATTGAAGCCAAGTCCGCCGCCCCAGAAAACTGCATTTTTCTGAAAACACCAACGAAAAAACATATAAGATCATCAAACAAGAAAAATGAGCATACCTCCAACCTACTTTTCATATACCCAATTTTTGCGCTGTCGCACAACTCTCAAGTTTTAATTTCCACACATTTCCTCCACTTTTCTCTCTGATCTTGTTTGCTAGTTGTTGTCAAAGGTAGAAAGTTAAAATATATTGTGAGTTTCTCATATTGGATTCTTAATATTGGAAACTGTTAATTAAATATAGGTATCATGAACAAGAGAGAGTAAAGAATCCAAGCATATTATTTCTGCAATTCCACAATAATTCCATGCACAAAACAGAAATAACACCTGTAGGTGTCATCAACTAGCTTTGCCACTCCCTCCTTTCCAAAAGCATTTTTCTTAGCCCACGTCCCCAAAACTGTTAAATAAATATTAGAGAATTTAGGAATAGAACGCCATCCAACATAAAAGGCGCACACATAGATGAATGAAACAGTGACTTCAGCAAATTAACAATCGGTCCTACACAATATTATCCTTCACAGGCAGAAGTTGTTAAAAAGATTTTTGGTCAGGTAAGCAACAGAGTTTCGACATTGTCAAGAACTTCATTTCATGTTTACCCACACCATCTTAGCTCCTGTTTGCTAAAGATCCAATTTGCAGAGTCATGAAACAGATTATACATCTGTTACTCGGCTAGTTAAGTCAAATGGATTTCAACGTAAAATTTGGTTAGAGTGCAAAGTAAAATATCATAAAGAAGGATGGGATGACATACTGATTTATCATAATAGATGTCAAAATTGGAGTGCACGGAGTCACTAGTCAGACATGGTGCTATTTGGTGGTTATAATATTCGGAAAATATATGAAGATTTCCTCCAATATAAAAATTGAAGGAACTCCTTGGTGTATATTATGTAGATATGGAATAGTCCTTTCGGAGTTGAAAGCTTTTCTTCAAGCCCATTTCCAAACCAAAGATTTGGGGCCTTTGAAATATTTTCTTGGTGTAGAAGTCATGAGGAACCGGAAAGAAATTCTTCTGTCTCAAAGAAAATGTGATCAAGGAAACAGGGAGGGAAGTTGGGATGAAACCCTGCAATACTTCCAATAGCACCTAACACGTATCCAGAAAATGGGGTGGGGGTAGGAGAGCTGAGAGATATCGGAAACTCATTGGGAAAATTGAACTATCTCACAATAACACGCCCTTGCGGTGAGTGCCGCGAGTCACTTTATGTCATCACCCACCGTAAATCACTGGGCTCTTCGAGAGCAAATTTTATGTTATCTAAAGGGTGCTCCAGGACGTGGATTATATTACGGCTCTCATGGTCACTCTAGAGGAGTAGAATGCTTCAGTTATGCGAAATTATGTGAGGTTGGATTGCAAAGATAATAGAAGATCAACTTCGAGTTACTGCATTTTTTTAGGGGAAATTTAGAATGCTTCTAGATCGGTTGTTGAAGCCGAATATCCGGCCATAGCAGATGCAATTTGTGAGGTTGTATGGATGCATCAATTGATGAAAGAAATTGGCTTTGAACCTCTCTCCCAGCAAAGCTTTGGTGTGATCTCTTCATATTGCAACCAACCCCGTGTGTCATGAACGAACTAAATGCATCGAAGTTGATTATCATTTTATGCGTGACAAGATCGAAGAACGGTTCATCATTATATCATTACAGAGCATGTCAAATCAAAAGAACCAACTAGGAGACATATTTACGAAGGTTGTAAATGGAGGAGTACTTGATAGCATTTGCAACAAGCTGGGCATGATCTATGTATATGTTCCAACGTGGGGGAGTGTTGATGTATATTGTGTAGATATAGAATAATCCTTTTAGGAAATAATATATTCTATTATTTGATTAGGATTATTATTCTCCTAGTTACGTATATAAATAGGGCTCTTGTACTCATTGGAACATAATATACAGATAACAAAACTCACATTTAATTTTCGTAAATTACTCTTTCCAACTCTCTAGATGTTGGATGTTGGTTGTAGAAGGAAACAACAGGATAAACAATTCAAATCCGTTTTAGAACAAAATCCTCACATTTTTGCTAGCTAAATAACTAAAAGATAATGTTCAACTTACCCTGCTCATCAGAGAGAACATCCAATATCCGATCAACAAGATCCTACACCATGATAACCAGGACAAATCATTAAAAAAAATTGTTTGTATAATCATGCCAAATAACTTATAAGAAAACAAACCCTACTAATATCAAGTCAGTTCAGTTGATAAACACAATTTACATTCAGAAGCAATATTTTGAAACAAAAACTAAATGAACTCCAGCCTCTCTGGCAACACTGAGGATAGTGACGCACTAGAAAAGTTTCCACAAAAAGTAAATGAAGTCAACAAAAACCTAAGGGGGCGATTGTTTATAAATTGTACAGTAAAAAAACAATTAAACTCAAATTTAACTCAACTTTAACCCAACCCCACTATCTCTCATATTATCAATATAATTAAATAATATCAACCAATCATTTTTACACATCACATCAACTTTAATTCACTATTCATCCACTCACATAATTTTAACTATCACTTCCAATCATTTTTCTCATACTTTACATCAAATCAACTTTAATTATTTTATTTAAATATTATTTTAATATATCCACTAACAACTAACCATACCACATTTTTTCAAAATTTACTATAGTTAAAAAACAAACCAAATAAAAACTATTTGAATCATAAACAATCACCCCCTAAGAAATCAATCTAACTCCAAGTATTTTCTGTCAATTATGAGGACTTTGACACAATAGACAAGTTGCCATAAGAAATAAATGAAGGCAAAGCAGATTACAAAAGGATTCTTCATACAATCAAACAAAGAAGTATTTAACATCAGCAATATTGTTCCCAAATAACCTGTTTCTTTCCCTGCTTTGAAAGACCTAGCTGTGTAAGGACATCTTTGAGCTCCTTTATTCGGAAATATGCTAATTTGTCCTGCAAGTCAAAACAAATTTGCAGAGAAGTTCACAAAGATCAAAAGTTAGGAAGTTAATTTTTTCTATTGGCAATTTCTGTCACTGTGGGATAAAGCTTTAGGCACATATAAACACTAATCACAACATCAATTATCAATCTTGGTTACATTTTGTCAGCCAAACAAGAGACGATTCTGATATTAGATTTCTGTGCTGAGCTCAACACAAACATGTCACTAGACTAATCTTACGTGGAAAATGGTCACCAGGTTATCAAAAGAGACATAGCATCCAACACTTCTCATGTGAATTCAATTAATCATATAGATCGACCACCCACTTTTTTCATACAACAGCAAATGAAAATTCACATACTGTCTAAGTCTTCACACAAATGCATCTGCATGCAATCTGAAATGCTTGTTGTCAGCTCTTACTGAATTTTTGGGGTCCATGTACAACTCAATCTACTCCATTTATGGACAATTATTTATGGTAAGTTTATCAGAAGCATATAATGCCTAATGATCAAATTTCACTTTTCAGCGAATAACAGAGCGCTTCCTGGTGGGTTTGTAGCTTCAGGCAAGTCCTTTTGGTCATTTGCATTGTCTCCATTTCTCCCTTCTAATAGAAATAGGAATTTACTATCATCCTATATTTTCTACTTCAGATCAGCTGGCACAGTGGGTAAATTTCATTCTACCACACTAGCATGTTAGACAGAAAATACCCTGTTCGCCATGCTGCTGCTTCTTTAGGAAGACAAATCTGTTAAGGTCCTTGAAGAAAACTCCTACTTGCTCCAAACAAATGCTTTTGGTTGTAGAAAAAAGAGAAAGGGTCAACTTTCAACCCTCAATGGATAGAATAAAACAGATTGAACACTCAAATGATGAGAATGAAAATTTGAAACCCCAGAACAAAGAAGAAGAAGAAGAAGAAGAAGAAATCAATTTTTAGACCCTATACACGTGATTCAACAGATTTCCCCATGATGCACCAGTGAAATTTCACTGTAACTATAAGCAACTGACCCCGTTTCTATATTTTAACTTGGAAGGAAAAGAAACCTAGTTAGGTAGCCATATCAAATAACAGGCAAGAACAGGTTGAAACTCCAAAGACAGAGTTAGAGCTAATGCTAAAGGTGCAGAAGCAGCCCCAATGGTGTTCATATATTTTATTTAAGATTTATATTTTAAACTTTTACTGAATCTCGGTCTGAAGACAACAGTCAATGAGTCAATAACAATGATGTGGCAAAGGAAAAGAACACTTGAACAAGAGTGTATATCACACAAAATTAAGATCAAGGAAAAAGAAAGAAAATGAATTCAATCAACCTTTGCAGTGGCAGACATAAGTCACCGGAAGCCTGCGGGTAGGGCAAGTTTAAAAGAACAAAAAAAAAATAAAAATGCATAAAAATGCTACACTTACTTATCATTTCTTTGTTCTTTGGTATTTTTCCTTATTAAGTTTGCCTTGACATTACATTTACCTAATTTAGGTCATTTAATGTGGATAGTAGGTACCTTTTTTCCCAAAAAAACTGCAACTCTGTTTAAAACCAAAACTTTTAAGGAGGTGAAATTTGAACTTTCGGATCCTTTATTTTTATTAAAAGCATTAGATAGTGTTATCAATATCGGATTGCGTCTCACGGAGGCAAATCAAAAAAACACCATAAA